TTCTTTGAAGTTTCTTGGTCAATATATTTCTTTTTGGAATTGTCTATGTTCTTTGCCTATTTTTTTCCCTTAAGTTATTTTTAGTTTTTATTTGTAGGTACCTCGTCAAATATTCCAGATAGTAATACTTTGCTAAACATAATTTCTCCTTTTCAATCATCTTTTCATGTTCATGAGTTCAAACACAATAATCTTTTTCTTTCTATCTTGTGAATTTGTGTGCAGCCTAAGAAATATACAGGAATTGATGCTGGACTTTGTAGCAGACACAGAGGCATGTCTCCCAGACTCCCTTCCAGGAAGGACTTGCTGCCTGGTTACAAGATGAGTCAGCAAACTGCCTGCGCAGCAGCTGTGAGCTCCCTTGCCCAAGGTACTTCCCTCCTGGGGCAGCCCACACCCAGTCACCGAAAGGAGAGGGTAGAACGCCCGGCCGGGTCAGTCTGATGTAGGACAAGCCTGAGAGCCAGCACTTGCTCAGTGCTCCTGCCTGCCAGGTGGACAAAGTTCTCTGAAAGGCTTGACTGCCCTTTGACTTCTTCTGCCCATTGCTGCTTCCTCCTTCTTCCTTGACCCCGGATCTCCAACTCAACGACCGCTTCTGGAGAACCCGACCTGCAAAGACTCTTCTTTCCTATTAACCTATTTGATTACCCTTGCTGTAACACCATACTATATTAATCTCCTTCTTGAGAATTTTCTTGGCTATCTTTGTACATGTTTTCTTTCATACAAACTTAAGAATCAGCTTGTTGAATTCCATACACAATCTGGTTGGGCTTTTAATTAGGACTGCACTCCATTTATAAATGGTGCTGGGGACAACTGACAGCTTTAGTGTATCAAGTCTTTCCATCCATGAACACATTTCGTGTCCTTTAGAAAAGTTTCGCCATGTTTGCCAATCTGTAGAAACGTCGTAATTACCTCATGACTTTAATTTGCATTTCCCTGATTACCAGTTAGGTTGCACACTTTTTTGGTGTATTTATTGGCTATTTGAATATTCTCTTTGGTGAAGCACCCATTCAAATATTTCATCCATGTTTTCATTGGGTTACCCTTCCTTTTCTTTTTGATGCATGAGATTTCTCTAGATTGTATGCATCCAAGTGCCTTGTCAGTTACATGTGTGTTACAGCTCGCTTCTCCCATTCTGTGGCTGGTCTTTCCAATCTCTTAATCTCTTGATGAATAAAAGTTTTTAAATCAAATTTATCAATTTTTGCCATTACAGTTATTACTTCCGTATCTTGTGGCAGAGGAAGAAATTCTCCTATAATATTTTCCAGTAGCTTTATAATTGTGTCTTTCACATCTATGTCAGTATTCAACCTGGAGTTGATTTTTTGGTATGGTATAGGGTTGGAGTCCAATTTCATTTTCGTCTCGTGTGGACACCCAATTGTCTCAATACCATTTATTGAAAAGACCCTCATTTCTTCACTGCTCTACATTGCCATCTCTGTCAAAATCAAGTTTCTATGTGGGGATCTGTTGGAAGTTTCAAACTCTATTCCAACAGACTCTGCCTACGCTATACAGCTTCATAATCATTCTTGGTAAGACCCTGATAAGGTAAGCCCTTCTCCAACACTAGTCGTGTTCCTCTTCAAGAGTATCTTGGTTATTCTTTCTCTTTGCTTTTCCA